ATATATATATGATTAAAAATATAGAAAGATGCAGTGAGTTGAAGGTAGGGTGAGATCCCTGACCTCTGGTACAGGATGAGGCTGGATGCAAGGAGCTGAAGCCAGCAGCATGGCTGCCCACACAGCGCTGCCCCCTATACCTGGAAAGAAGGGGTGAAATGTCACAGGCATCCATTTAACATGCATGACTGAGCTCCCCATGAAGAAAAAACCCCAGATGTCAGGACGCAAGAACTCCAGGCAGGCTGCCATCTGGGGCTACCTGGGCGGGCTTGTACCAAGGTCCTCCTATGACGAATGCAGGCATTTGCCACCAAAAACCTACTTAAAGCCAGAACCAGCCCAGGGGGATGCAAAGCACCCTGACTTTGCCTGTGCTCCCAAGAGGGGAGGTGGGAGTCTGAGGGCTGGCATGTGTCTGTCTGAGTGCCTGCCATGGGGTTTGTCTGGAAAGCAGCATGAAACTGGTCCTGGACAGTGATGGCCAGGACACATGGCAGAGGCAGCCCCCAAACCTGTTCAGAAGAAAAATTTCCAGGCAAGACTTGGCTAACACTCAGAGAAAGTCAGGATTAGATGATAAAACCTTTGGGCAATGAACTATCAGAGACCATAAAATAAAAGATGTAAAAGGGAAATTGAAAAGGAAAGAACCGGCTCTGAGAAAAACACTCTGATTTGAAATGGAACCAAATAGTTCACATAACTAAAAAAATACAATGATTGAAATTAAAAACCCAGTGTCTCTGACAGAGGTAGATTAATCTTCCCACTAAGAATAACTGGCATTGACAGATAAATAGGAAATTAGTTGGGTGTGATGGTACCACCTGTAGTCCTGGCCTCAGCCCCTGAGGTGGGAAGATCGCTTGAGCCAAGAACCTTGTCTCTTAAAAAAAGACTCAACAATAATAATACAGAAATTATCTGTTGAGGGCATCCTGGGAGAGCCAGCAAGGGGGGAAGTACAGGACCGAGGTCTCAGAAAGCAGTGAGCTGCTTTTCTCTGAGGGGCTTTTGCTGCTTTCAGAGGTGGTGGCTGGGCAGGTGCAAGATGACGGTTTCCAAGACCAGGTGCCACCTCGCATCCAGGCCTAGCTGAGCAGAGGGACCCTGGGAGCTCATGGGGGTCTCTGGGAAGGCTGGGCAGTGCGCATTCTGGGAGAGTCACGGTCTGGGGCAAGGGCAGAGAAGAAAGAGCCAGGGCAGGGTTCTGCTTTGTGTTTCTGAAATAGTTGAGCAAGATTTCCCCAGGGTTGGAGAGAGGTGGGGGTTAAAATATTTGGTTTGACCAATTTAGGGTGAGAGAGCTCTGGAGTTGACATAATTTCTTATTTTTTTAGAGAAGTGGACTAAGACATATGTCTAAAAATGAGGCCCAAACTTCATATTTGCATTAAAGTAACTTTAAATTGGCGATTAATTTATTTTTTTTGAGACAGAGTCTCACTATGTTGCCCTGGGTAGAGTGCTGTGGTGTCACAGCTCACAGCAACCTCAAACTCTTGGGCTTAAGAGATTCTCTGGTCTTAGCTTGTTCCCAAGTAGCTAGGACTACAGGCACCCACCACTACACCCAGCTATTTTTTTTTTTTTTTGCAGTTGTCTTTGTTGTTTAACTGGCCCAGGCCGGATTCGAACCCATAAGCTCTGGTGTATATGGCTGGTGCCCTACTCACTTAACTATGGGCAATTAAAATTTTTAAGAACTAGCTCAGCACCTGTGGCTAAGTGGCTAAGGTGCCAGCCACACACACCAGAGCTGGTGCTTTCGAATCTAGCCTGAGCCCACCAAACAACAATGATGGCTGCAACCAAAAAATAGCCAGGCATTGTGGTGGGCACCTGTAGTCCCAGCTACTTGGGAGGCGGGGGCAGGAGAACTGCTTGAACCCAAGTGATTCTGGAGGTTGCTGTGAGCTATGATGCCACAGCACTCTACCCAGGGCGATAGCTTGAGGCTTTGTCTCAAAAAAAAAATTTTAAGAACAGGTGGGCACAGTGGCTCATTACCTGTCTGAGCAAGAGTGAGACCTCGTCTCTACTAAAATGAAGAGACTAGCTGGGCATCATGGCAGGCGTCTGAGGTCCCAGCTACTCGAGAGGCTGAGGCAGGAGGATCTCTTTAGCCCAAGTTGGAAGTTGCTATGAGCTATGATGATGCCACAGCATTCTGACTCTGTCTCAGGAAAAAAAAAAAAAGAACACTAAATGTTCAGAATAAATAATGTTTCTATTTCTCAGCATTTTAGCCTCTGTTTCCACACGGTGTTGGAGAAGAGGCCCTTGTGGAAGCCACGCTCGCACAGCCAGTTCCCTGCTCTCCCCGTACTCCCTACGTCCCTCTGGCTGGGCAGTTGGAGACCCATGCTGTTCGGCTCTGAGACAGAACTGTGTCTGCAGTGGCATCAGCATGTCATCCTCAGTGAGGGCCCAGGCGCTAGAGGAGACCAGTCCTGGCTCTGCAGAGAAGCTGAGAGGAAAGTCTCTTTTCACCTGGGGTTCTCTTTTCGGTCATCGGACCGAAGGCAGCCCCAGTGAGAGTGTGCTGACTGTCACCATCACAGAGACCACGGTCATCGAGTCGGACCTGGGCGTGTGGAGCTCGCGGGCGCTCCTCTACCTCACGCTCTGGTTCTTCTTCAGCTTCTGCACCCTGTTCCTCAACAAGTATATCCTGTCGCTGCTGGAGGGCGAGCCCAGCATGCTGGGTGAGGCCCACCTGCCCTGGAACCTGCAGACCACTCCGGGGAGGGCCTGTCATCCAGGAGGGCGGGAGGAGGAAGCCCAGACAGGACGGGAGCCTGTCCTAGGTGTGGCCGCCCACCTGTGTGTTAGAAAAGGGCCTCTCCCTCTTCCTCCCCAGGTGCCGTGCAGATGCTGTCAACCACATTTATCGGATGTATCAAAATATTTGTACCTTGCTGTTTATATCAGCACAAAACCCGGCTTTCTTATCCACCCAATTTCATCATGACTATGCTATTTGTGGGTCTAATGAGGTAAAGAATCTTGCATTTTTGGTTGAGTGTCAGATTTTTTTCATGTAAAGTGCCTTTGCCATTACTAAGAGCAGGACTCTGCTGCTCTGAGTATGACTGGTATGTTTCCAGTGCAAACTCTGAAAAGCCCCAGCGCTGTCTGGATTTTAGGCTGCACATGGATCTGGCTTTGTAGATCCACCTGCCGTGTATATTCACTCAGGTTATTTCTGAAGCAGCCATGACGTTGATTAGTGAAGGTTTGAAGATAGTGGGCCTCCCTGCCTCTGGGCATGGCTCCACTCCTCAGGGTGGCAGCCCCACCCAGGGGCAGTGATGCCATTTCCCCAGAGGGTCCAGGCACTGGCTTTGGAGGGATGTGAAGGGGGGCAGGTGTGCCCCCTGCAGGGACACCGTCCTGTATTTGCACACAGACAGTTTGTTTCAGTGACAGTTTTTGCTTATTTTCAGGTTTGCAACAGTGGTTTTGGGTTTGGTCAGCCTGAAGAATGTGGCGGTTTCGTTTGCTGAGACCGTGAAGAGCTCCGCCCCCATCTTCACCGTGATCCTGTCTCGGATGATTCTAGGGGAGCACACTGGTGAGGCCCTTCCCAAGCACCATGCTGCCTGCTCAGAGTAGCTCCCTGGAGCTGTCACCTCCCCTGGAATGTTTCTCAGCGTCATGGTCACCTCACTTAGTCACACCAGGCTGTATTTCTTGGGGCCTGCTGCAGGGGGTGCTCGGGAGTGTTGTGGTGGTGTCTCCTGGTGGTCAGAGCAGGGTTGTGCCCCTTAGTCCCTGGCGGGGTGGGGACACGGCCAGGAGCTGGGCAAACACACTATATGTGATGATATCAGGGGCCTTCATTGGGCACCATGTGAGGTGGCCCAGCCCGTTCTAGGCTTTCCCATCCCCTGCCCTGCCTCTCCAGGCCCCTCCCTTGCTTTGCCCAGCTCTTCTTGCCCTGCTTCTCCGTCCTTCCTGAGGTTCAACAAATTGCATTTTTTGGACAAAACTCCAGGGGAGTTTTCAGTGATGTGTGGATTGTTTCTGGTACACATTGGACCCCAGCCCCTGCTCTTCTCACCAGCTTTTGAAAAATAGCATGTCCAAGCTGGGTGCCATAGCTCACTCCAGTGATCCCAGCATTCTGGGATGCTGAAGGAAGCAGATCACTTGAGCTGACAGGTTCAAGACCAGCCTGAGCAAGAGCAAGACCCTGTCTCTAAAAATAGCTGGGCATTGTGGCAGGCACCTGTAGTTGCAGCTACATGAGAGGCTGAGGCAAGAGAATCACTTGAGCCTAAGAGTTTGAGGTTGCTGTGAGCTGTGACACCATGGCACTCTACCAAGGATGACAAAGTGAGACTGTCTCAAAAAAAAAAAAAGGTAAAAACAGCATGTCCAACATTGTTATATGAAAACAAGCAAGGTGCAGAGTAATGCATAAAAAGTATACTCTTTCATCTGAGAGGGATGCTGACAGGTACACATTTTTTGGTATTTCTACTAAAAAAGAATACAACAGATCTTAAGATTAAGGCATGTCTACCTAAGGGGTGGGGCTTGGGCCACCTCTTCCCACGTGTGCCTTGGGAGCTGCACAGATGTCTTAGGTTATTACAAAACAAAATTTAAATCTAAAAAGCAATTTTGAAAAATTTAAGCAGGCTCGGCGCCTGTGGCTCAAGTGGCTAAGGCGCCAGCCATGTACACCCAAGGTGGCGGGTTCGAGTCCAGCCCGGGCCTGCCAAACAACAATGACGGCTGCAACCAAAAAATAGCTGGGTGTTGTGGGCGCCTGTGGTCCCAGCTACTTGGGAGGCCGAGGCAGGAGACTCGCTTGAGCCCAGGAGTTGGAGGTTGCTGTGAGCTGAGATGCCACGGCACTCTGCCCAGAGGGACAGCTTGAGGCTCCTGTCTCAAAAAAGAAAAAAGAAAAATTTACGCAAACCAAAACAAATGAACCTTATTGCATATCAGGCTGGTAGCTTAGCCACACAAGAAGGAATTATTTCAGGAGACTAAAACCTCCTGCTTTGCTGTCTAACCATGGTGGACACAGTGAAGCAAACTAGCTCTCTCACTGAGAACAATTAGAAAATCTTGACAAAGCTTAGCAGAAGGAACTCTGCAGAGAGCCACTGGAGAACAAGGTGCAGGGACTTGGGGGACCGGGGTTCAGAACTGAGGGTGACTGTACAGTGGCCCAATGTGGCGCCACCTCCAGGAGCACCTGCTAACTGTCAATAGCCAGTGACAGTCTGGGCCGAGCAGCCTCTCAGGGCTGGAGCAACACAGATCCTCTCTGGAGCCTGATGAGGCATTCACAGCCTCCATTTCTCTCTGCAGTCTTTATGCACATTGTCTGTTATCAAAAGTTTCCAAGCAGACCAGAGGACGCTCACTGGGTCCCTTCAGCTGCGTGGCATCTGGAGTTACTTGACAAAGCGAGATTCCTGGGTTCCCTGGGGGCTCCTTGAGGAAGCCTTGTGATTGCTCTGGACACCACTGTCCTGTGATGGGGAGATGCTGCCTTCTCGTGAGGTTGCCACGCGCTTATCTCAGGAGTGTCACTTGGTTCCTTGTTGTTAAACATGAAAGGTTCCTCTCCTATTTATATTGAATTCCAAAACAAATACTGTATCTAAAATCACATAGGCACAAAATGTTGCCTGTGTCCTGTGTCCAAGATGAAAGTGTGATTTCACAGCGTTGACCTGGTTTCTTAAAGACCATTCATATGGACTGGGCCAGTGGCTCACACCTGTGACCTCAGCATTGTAGGAGACTGAGGTGGGCAGATCACCTGAGCTCACGAGTTTGAGACCAGCCTGAGCCAGAGCAAGACCCCATCTCTATTAAAATTGGAAAACTAGGTGCTCTGGCCAGTTCCTGTAGTCCAGCTACTCAGGAGGTTGAGGCAGGAGCATCACTTGAGCCCAGGGGTTTGAGGTTGCTGTGAGCTGTGACACCGCAGTGCTCTAGCCTGGGGCAACAGAGAGAGACTCTTAATCTTAAAAGAAAAAAAAAGTGATGGGACTCAACTTACAGATAGACTTTAATTTGCTTTATTTTCCCTCCAAGGTAAAGGAACTGCCAGGTATTTGTTTTGATTTATAGTAAAAATCCATGCCTTTCCTAAAAGGGGAATGAACACACCCTGGGCTATCCGTGGGGGCTTATGGCCTCATGGATGACTCTGGTCACCTGTGTTTTCTCTTGTCAGGGTTGCTGGTCAACCTCTCTCTCATCCCGGTCATGGGAGGGCTGGCGCTGTGCACGGCCACTGAGATGAGCTTCAATATCCTGGGGTTTTCAGCCGCATTATCCACCAACATCATGGACTGGTGAGTTGGGAAGAATATGGGAACCCGAACCTGAGGATGGAAGTGGCACTCGCTTTCTCTGTGTCCTCATTGGTTGCGTTTGAAATTACACAGTCTCACTCTGTTGCCCTGGGTAGAGTGCAGTGGCGTCAGCCTAGGTCATAGCAACCTCAAAGTCCTAAGCTCAGTGATCCTCCTGCCTCAGCCTCCCACAGTGCTGGGATCCCAGGTATGCACCACCATACCTGGCCGGTCCTCCTGTTTTTGAGGGAAAAAGGAAATTCAACGACCAACGGCAGTGTTCAAGAGTATTACTACTACTGCTAAAGTCAAACAGACAGGTCTTAAGGTTTTGAACAATACAGCTGAGTAAAAATAAAAATCCTAATTTCATTTGTATCATTTTGATGCATTTCCTTCCAGCTTTCCTTCTCTGCGGTGGTTCTTTGTAACACGGCATGGCTGTGTCACTGCTCTGTCTGAGTCAGGAGCCTCAGGCCATGTGGACCTCTCTGCACAGCAGGTTTCAGGGCTGTCTGAGGTTTGCCCCGCCCTGCGACTTTACAGCTCTTTTGCTGCCAAACTCCCTGGCCCTTTGCGTTCATAAATAAACCCACAGGGAACATCTTTTCACATCAATCTCTTTCTGAATGTCTGACTGTCCTGTGGGGTGAATTCTCAGAAGGCAGATTGTTGGACAAAACCTGGGAACTTCTAAAAGGACTTTGGTCCATCTGGTCAGACTGGGGACCAACTAATGGCTCTTATTAATAGCACTACCCTGAGGGTTTTCCACCTGACCTCATCCTCAGCTATGGGTTTGCACTTACAAAAGTAAAAATGCACCTCTCTCCATTCAGAGGCCAGATGCCGGCACCTATCAGCTGTCAGGCTCTGAGCTCCTTGGTCACTGGTGGAGCTGGATGCTGTTTCACTTTATCTTTGGCCATTTGTCCTGTGGTTTATCCTACGTATGAGTTTTGTCTTGCTCTGGCTGGCATCTTCGTCACATTCGCAACCCATTTTGTCTGCTTTGTGCCTGTGCTGGTGTTCCGGCCATGGCAGTTAGGAGAACTCTTTGTTCAAAGAAGGATATCATGACCTGCATGTGGTGGGGACACAGCCCATTCGGGTGTCATAGTTCACCCATCTGTTGGGGTGGCAGGCAGACTGAGAGCCCACACAGGGCCTGGCCTGGCGTGGAAGGTCAGTGGCTCTCAGGAACATGGGACACCACTGCCCTTGTTCAAGGAGAATGCACGCATCTTATCGCTTGCTTTCCAGTGCTAGCAACCAGGATCAATGCATAACCTCTTCTTTTCTTTATTCTAGTTTGCAAAATGTTTTTTCAAAAAAGCTCCTCAGTGGGGACAAGTACAGGTTCTCGTAAGTATCACTGGTTAACAAAGCCCTGAGGACTTGCTGCTCATTTTAAGATTCATGATGCCCTGTAGACTGATACATTCTGTCTTGACCTGCGTGGCCTTTAAAACCACCTTGTTGATTCTTGGGGACAAACCTGTCTGTTTCAGCTGCTGCACTGAGTGACCTTCACCACCTGGCCTGGGTTTGGGTTGCCTTTTAATTTATGGGTGGCCGAGGAGGTCACATAAGGTTAACTTCTCACCTGCATGGGTACTTCAGGGTGTTCCTGTGAAGCACCTGCTGGGTGTCTGACGTCCTCTGTTGCTCCACAGGGCCCCAGAGCTGCAGTTCTATACCAGCGCTGCCGCCATGGCCATGCTGATCCCAGCCTGGATCTTCTTCATGGTGGGTTTCAGGAGGGCACCACATCCCATGTGTGTCTGGGCCAGCAGACGAGTTAGCTTCCCTAGCCATGTGTGACAGCTGGCCTGTCAGCTTTGTTGATCACTTATGGAGGGCAACCATGCACTCTAGGAGGGGCTGGACCAGGCCACAGCTCAGGCCAGCCGTGGTGGCCAGCATAGCCTCTGGGAGCTGCAGCAGGTTTCTGTGTGTCTGTGTGAGGGTTTTCCGGCTTGGCTTCTTTTTTTGGCAGTTTTTTTGTTTTTTTGTTTTTTTGGCCAGGGCTGGGTTTGAACTGGCCACATCTGGCATATGGGGCTAGTACCCTACTCCTTTAAGCCACAGGCGCTGCCCTTGAGTCTTTTTTTTAATTAGAAAAGTAATACCTAATGATTATGTCAGTGTTTTGCCTATAGTTGATGTTCTGTAAATATTCATGGAATAAAGGAGCCTGAAATAAAAAAAGAAAAGGAAAAATAATACCTACCCACTGTAGAGCAGTCAGCAGTGTGGATATACATGAAACAAAACAGAAAAGGCAGTGTGAACCCAACAGCTCACACAGCACCCGCAGGGACCTGTCCTACCCTCAGCATGGGTGGGACTGGGCTGCCCGAGTCTGGTCACATGAGGACAGTTGCTCCGTCCCTGACATGTCACTTCTCACTGTTACACACAGGGAGCTTCGTACATCATGCCTTTTGAGATGAGAGTATTTCTCTGGAATATGTTTTGGGATGGGAATGGTTGATTGACAGAATATGCATGTTTAAATGTTTTTTAGTTGTCCTAAATACACATGGCATAGAATTTGCTGTCTTAACCATTTTCACAGGTACAATTAAATGGCACAGGGGCACATTCACGTCTTGTGCAGCCCTCCCCACCATCATCTCCAGAACTTTACTTTTTTTTTTTTTTTTTGAGACAGTCTCACTATGTCACCCTTGGTAGAGTGCTGTGGCGTCACAGCTCACAGCAACCTCAAACTCTTGGGCTTAAGCGATTCTCTTGCCTCAGCCTCCCAAGTAGCTGGGACTATAGGCTCCCGCCACAATGCCTGGCTATTTTTTGGTTGCAGTTGTCTTTGTTTAGCTGGCCCAGGCCGGGTTTGAACCTGCCAGCCTTGGTGTATGTGGCTGGTGCTGTAACCACTGTGCTATGGGCACTGAGCCCATCTCCAGAACTTTTCATCTTCAAAATGAGACTCCGTCCCTGTTGAATACTCACTCCCACCCAGCACCCAGCACCCACCATTCTACCTTCCTTGCCTGTGATTCTGACATTTGCATGGCCTATAAAGGGGAATACGCCATGTTGCCTGTGTCTGGCTTATCGCACTGAGCATGATATTTCCAAGCTCACCTGTATTGTGGCATGTGTCAGGATTTCCAATTTTCTTCCTTTTCAAGGCTGAACAATACTCCACTGTGTGGAGAGACTGCGCTTGGCTTGTCTGTCTGTCAGTGGACATCTGGGCTGTTTCCACATTTCAGCCATTGTGCGCCATGAGGCGCTGAACATGTGTGTACAGGGATACATCTCCAAGTCCCTGCTTTTGCTTCTTTTGGCCCCAGACCTAGCAGCAGACCTTGTGTTTAATGTCTTAAGGCCCAAGCTGCTCTTCACAGCAGCTGTCCACTGTGACACTCCCCGCAGTGCACAAGGGTCCTGCTTCTTCAGATCCTCTGTTGTTACTTTCTGGCTTTTGTTGTTTATTTTTGACAGGAGCCATCCTCATAGGTGTGAGGTAGAATTTTGGGGGTTCTCTTTGTGTTTTCTCTGTCTCTTTTTTTTTTTTTTTTTTTTTTTGAGATGAGGTCTCACTCAGGCTTAGGCTGGTCTTGAACCTGTGAGCTCAGGCAATCCACCCGCCTCAGCCTCCAAAGTGCTGGGATTACAGGTGTGAGCCACCTTACCTGGCTTCTCTTTGTGTTTTCTTTCTTTCTTTCTTTCTTTTTTTTTTTTTTTGGTAGAGACAGGGTCTTACTTTATTGCCCTTGGTAGAGTGCCCTGGTGTTACAGCTTACTGTAACCTCCAAATCCTGGGCTTAAGAGATTCTCTTGCCTCAGCCTCCCGAGTAGCCGGGACTACAGGTGCCTTCCACAATGCCCAGCTATTTTTTTGTTACAGTTTGGCCGGGGCTGGGTTTGAACCCACCACCCTCAATACATGGGGTGCCCTACCCATTGAGCCGCAGGTGCCACATGTGGCTGATTGGTGATGCTAAGCCTGATTGGGTACACCCTGGTCATTTGCACATGGAAGCTGGTGAACGGAGTTAGGCTGTCCCCAGAAGGCTGTCTCCAAAGCTCTCTTCAACATCGCCTGCCTCACCGATTGCTGGGCAGAAATGACACTGGGTCTTTTGGGTGGGTCATTAGTGAAAGGAAAGTGTACCCAGTAGTGTCGTCCTGTTCCTCTCATAGGATGTGCCGGTGGTTGGAAGGAGTGGGAAGAGCTTCAGCTATAGCCAGGACATCGTGGTGCTGCTTCTGACTGATGGTGCCCTGTTCCACCTGCAGAGTGTCACAGCCTATGCCCTCATGGGGAAAATCTCCCCTGTGACTTTCAGGTGAGCAGAGATGTAATGTGTCCACTTGGAGAGAAGACAAGAAACCTGGGTATTTTTATAAACAATAATTGTGATTCTCTTCCACAGTGAGGACTGTGGTAACACACCTTAAGTGCTACACCATTTTGTGCTAATACCACTTGAAATGCAAATGGTAAAGTGTATGAAATAGATTTTTAGGGCAATTTTCCTTTTTTTTTTCTTTTGAGGTTTTTGGCCAGGGCTGGGTTTGACCCATCACCTCCCCTCCAGCATATGGGACCAGTGCTCTACCCTTTTGAGCCACAAGTACCACCTTTTTTTTTATTTTTAAGACAGAGTCTCACTTTGTCACCCTCGGTAGAGTGCTATGGTGTCACAGCTCACAGCAACCACCAACTCTTGGGCTTATGCGATTCTCTTGCCTCAGCCTCCCAAGTAGTAGCTGGGACCACAGGCACCCGCCACAACGCCTGGCTATTTTTTGTTGTAGTTTGTCCGGGGCCAGGTTGGAACCTGCCACCCTCGGTTTATGGGGACGGTGCCTTACTCACTGAGCCACAGGTGCCATCCAACAGAGTCTTACTTTTTCGCCCTTTGGTAGAGTTACGCTGTGGCATGATAGCTCACAGCAACCTCCAACTCTTGGGCTTAAGTGATTCTCTTGCCTCAGCCTCCCAAGTAGCTGGGACTATAGACGCCCACCAGAACGCCTGGCTATTTTTTGTTGCAGTTTGGCTGGGGCCTGGTTTAAACCAGCCACCCTTTGTATATGAGGCCAGCGCCCTACCCATTGAGCCACAGACACAGCCCAAGGGAATCTCCATTAGAAGTTTTTTGTAATTGTTTGAGTATTTTTTGTCTAGCAGAGCATGGTCGACAGACTTATCTGCTCCAGACATGGTGGCTCACCTTTGTAATCTTAGCACTATGGGAGGATCACTTGAGGCTGGGAGCTGGAGACCAGCCTGGGTAGCACAGTGAGACCCTGTCTCTCTAATACCAACATGTCCGCACTTATTGGGTGTGGTGTTTCTGTCTGCCCAGTGTAGGGCCACTGGCCACATGAAGAGTGGAGAATGGAGTGAAGAGCCAGATTCTTACTTTTAATTATAATCAGTTTAAATTTCGTTCTTTTCTTATTTTTTTAGAGATAGAGTCTTACTTTGTCGCCCTTAGTAGAGTGCTGTAGCGTCATAGCTCACAGCAACCTCAACTTTTGGGCTTAGGTGATTCCGTTGCCTCAGTCTCCCAAGTAGCTGGGACTATAGACTCCTGCCACAACACTCGGCTGTTTTTTTGTCGCAGTTTGTCTGGGGCTGGGTTTGAACCTGCCACCCTCAGTATAAGTGGCCGGTGCCCTACCCACTGAGCCACATAGACACGTGTGGCCAGTGGCTCCAGGGTGAGGCAATGTGGCGCTCACTCAAAGGAGAGCTCAAGACCCATTAGCTTCTTCTCACTTCTCTTACTGGACAAATTTAATGAAAATACAATTTAAGGACAAGGGAGTTTTCAGTAGCAAATAAAAATGAGTGACCTTGGTTACCCACAAGTATAGAGCCACATCACACTGTCATGTGTGCGGGGCCTTTTCTCTCTAACTTTTGGGCTGCCATGGAGGAGGTGGAGGAGAAGTGGACTTGGCTGAATTGTGCCACATCGTCCAGGCTCCTGTGGCAGCGGCCCCAGCTGCCCTGGGACATGCAGGGCCACTCTCAGGAGTAGCTCTCCCTTCTCTGCCTCCAGCCTGTGTGAGTCAGTGCAGCACACACACCAGCTATCAGCAGAGCCCAGCAGCTTGAGAGGAGGCTGTGTTCTGCAGACTTAGGAGCAAAGGCTCCTCCCGCCAGTGGGCCCTGCAGCTGCACCATCACCACCACCCACCATTGCTGTCCTGCCTGAGTGGAGGTATCTGCAGTAACAGTGACAGTCCCATTCTCTGAATTTTCTGAGGCTCACAGTAGCCTCTTGGGCTTGGTTGCGGTGTCTGCCTCACCAGCTTGTTTATTTTGGGGGCCAAGAATTGTTAACACATGTCCCTGAAACAGGTTTTTACTGATACTTAGTGATCCATAAAGATGGTTCAAAAAAAGACAACAGAAAACCAATTATTGTTTTAATAGTATTTTTTATTCATATTATAAGAGCGATGAATAAAATGACTCATTATAGAAAGCTTGGAAAAGGCAGAAAAACATTTTAAAAAAAGTTTACATTATGCATAATCCTAACCAAAGAGAAATTGCTGTTAATGTTTTGGTGTATTTCATATGAGCTTTATTTTCACAAAGCCCTAATACTGTATACAGGGTGCCGTATTCAGCTAAACCATCTCCTTAAGGAACTGTTCTTAAACACTAGCAAGGGATTGCAGGTCTGTGGAAGGTTTTCCCATTCTTCATTGAGCTGCTGCAGTATTAGGGAAATTTTCACAACGTCTGTAATTTGCTAGGATGAAGCAGATGTGGCCGTATAGTCATTAAGTGGGGGTCACAGGAGTGCAGCTGCTTCTTGGCTTCTCCACTTGACATCACTTATAATAAAAAGGACCCCAACAAAAAAGGATCGAGGGGTCACGCTGGTCCCCTTCCAGCTGTGAATGCTTGGTGGTGAGCCCCCAACCCTACCCCAGCAGCCGTGGCCCCTGTGGATGGGCCAGCACGCAAGCCTACCTCTGCTCTTGCCACAGTGTCGCCAGCACAGTGAAGCATGCCTTGTCCATCTGGCTCAGCATCATAGTTTTTGGGAACAAAATCACCAGCCTGTCGGCCATCGGCACTGTCCTGGTGACAGCCGGCGTCTTGCTCTACAACAGAGCCAAGCAGCACCAGCAGGAGGCCATGCAGAGCCTGGCCACAGCCAGCAGCCAGGCCCCAGGAGACACCGTGGAGCCCCTTGTTCCCAAGGACTCCAGACAGCAGCACTGAGCTCAGGACACCCCTGCCTAGGGTCCTGGCCACCACTGATACTGTCCTCCCTACTGGGGCTTGTCTGGAAAACAGCTGCAGAGATGGGCCACGTGCATGTGGAACCGGCACTTGCTGCTCCTTATTTTTTCAGTGGAAACTCAAATGAGGGATTCCAGGTGTCAGCTTCCCAGGGCACAGACGAGAGCTGAGGCCCCCCCCCCCAAAATGTGAAAACAGCCTCATTGACCCCACACTGCAGAAAGACGTCAGGACAGCCTCAGCAGCTTCCACGCTAGGCATGCCCCTTCCCTATGGGCTACAACCACTGGAGTCCAGCAGAGAGAACTCTGCTTCCCCACACCAGCCAGGAAAGGCCACTGAAGCCCTGGGCTACCTGAGATGGGCTGCCGTGCTGCAACAGAGTCTGAAGCATCCACAGCTCCTTACAGGACAGAGTGGACAGTGGGATGACAGGCTCAGGAGCAGGGTCTCCCCTCTGAACAGACCATCACTCCCAAGCTACTATGAGCCACATTCACCCTCGCAGGCACTGTGCGAGGTCATGCTCTGGGGAGAGTGTGCGTGGAAGGGGCCTGTCAGAGCCTTCCATGCTGAGTGAGCGACGGGGGCTGCTGACATCCTGGTCCTTCTCTGGACTCTGGGTGGCCGGGTGACACGGAGGACTCAGGGCTCCTGCCCTTACTGTCAACCTCCCTGTTCAGTTCTCACTGTGCAGGCACAAGCAGGGCCCACCAGGTAGAATGTCGGCGTGTTTGCAGTTTGGTTACACTGCATTTAAAGTGATGCCTTCAATGAAAGAAGCATCCAAAAGTTCTCCTGTACGTTGTGTGCAGGTGGCCCTCACTGCTGGATGGACCTTTGCTGCCTGGCTCTCCTGGAGGGATAGTGACACTGCAGCCCTGGGGCCACCAGGTGAGCTGAGCTCATTCTTAACACATGTCACTCAACCCCCAGGGCTGGAAAGCCTGTTGAGTGCATGTTTGGCTATGCCAGGTGTCAGGCCACGTGTCAAGCTGAGGCTTCTGTCTTGCATCCTGAGAAATTGATTCAGGGCATCACCTATCGCCAGCCAGCCTCAACACACTGTCCACCACCCAGACCTCTGTGTACCACCCAGATCTCTGTCCACCTTCCAGACTTCTGGCGCCTGTTGGACACAGCCACTTGGCGCTGATTGTTACCTGACTCTCATTTCTCCTCCTGCTGTTCAGGTCTTTGGTGGCCATAATCAATTCACTGGTTTTCCAGCTGGCTTCCCACCTGGAAAATACGAAAACAGCCCCTCCTAAAGATAAAATCTCTCAGAAACAAAGAGCAATAATACGTCTCATTAGTTCCTACCTACTTGAAAGTTTGCCGTGATGATGGAACAACTCCAACTTTCTAGCCCACTGGCCACCTGTGTGGGAGCTGACCTGAGTCTGGAGGGTGGCAGGTCCCCACCCACCTGCATGGCTTGCTCCTCTTCCCAGAACAGGTTTGCTCCTGTGAGTTTCCCCAGGTTTCTATGTCCCATACTCTTTTTCTGCTTCTGCCCACAATGAAAGAAAAGAAAATTTGGTGGAGTTGGCCAGGTGGGGAACGATGGCAGATGGACCTGTGAAAACTGGATGGAAAAGACCCCCCCACCCCAAATGGGCAGCTGCTACAATAGGACTCAGACAGGACAGGCGTCTCTGAGGTGGCTGGGGGCAGGGTTTCTGCTATGGTTGGAGGGTAAGTAGAGGCCCAGCCACCTGGTTTCCAAGTGCTGTCCTGGGCTCTGCTGCCACATGCCATGTGAGGTCATGATGCTCCCCATCATGGTACCCCTTCCCTCCACTCTTACAAGCAGCTTTCAGCCCGTTTTGATTTTCTAAATTTGTGAACCAGAAACAAAATAAACATTTTCCTAAATTATTCGCAAGTAAAGAAATTTTCCATAAAGTTGCTTTTGAGACCTTTCATAACTCCAGGGGAAGGTACTGTAGAACCTGCCCTGTGGCCAACAGTGATTTCCTCTCCCAGCCACATCAGTGCTCAAGTCAGTTTCCAGCTGCCACTTCTCAAAGCACTTCCAGGACAGCTCCACACCAAAAGTCAAACCTGACAGGCCTAGCTTGAACATCTAATGATTGGACCGACACAGTATTTTTAAAACTAACTCTTTCTAGTGCTTTTACAGAAGCATATGTTCTTGTTGAACTGTCACAACTGTGTTCATAGAGACATTGACACTACATGTCATTACTTCTACTGGGTTAATTCTTCTTGCCTGTGGTCACTGTCTGTATCTTTGTAAACAAAACTCTTAAACTAGACCTTCAAGTTGAGTCATATGCTTGCTTAGAGGTATATAGATCTCTAACTTTCAAGGAAATTTCCCCTACTGAATGGCATGAAAAGATTTTTTAATTCTGTTAGTCATAATTTCCTATATAACAGGATTAAAATAATTTGCCTGCCTGAAAAATTGAGAATACTGTTGCACAATCCAAAATATGTCTTTCATTTGAGAAAAATAAACATAGTGAATCAGAAATAGGAAAAAAAAAAGGCTGTGCAAAGAGTATCAGCCAAATAGAGCTCAACTGTGTAGCTTTTAACATACTTGCCACAAAGCCACTGAGTTTTACTTCCTGCTTGATACTCCTCTTAATGGTCACTTGGACAGGTCTGTGGGGATGACAAGCAGGACAGCTTTTTATATCCATCCATGATGTGCTTTCCAAGGCCTGGTAGTGTTTTCACTGTTTCCTTGGGTTGGGTGTGATTACAGACAGAATTCCACGTTTATGTTTTTGCCTTTGACCAGTATTGTATTTTAATTGTTTCCCAGAATATGTATGGGCCCCTAGTTGGGACTTTTCATTTTCTTAGTTTGTAAAGATCATCTCAGCTCCCCTGATGAATCTGGCTATCTCTGTCTTGGCTGAGGGTCCACGAATGGGCCCTGGAGATCATGCAGACCGCTCAGCTACTCACACTGCAGCTCAGGGCATGGAGATCTTCCCAGCCCTACCTTTGCTATAGCTAAAGTGTTTCTTCCAGTTTTACTGGGGGCTGACTCTGAGTTTAGTGACTATCGGATCCTTGCTTAGACATCCAATTGGCAAAGTCCTTTTTTGTCTGTTGTTTTCAGTTTTCCATTTGCAGAAAAATGGGATTCAGCTAATTTGCTACTTCTAAACTATTCCCAGACAGATGTGTGAATCTGAACCTTCCCAAGGGCTGCTGTAGGCTCTACCTTGAGGGCCATAGTTATGATGACTGCTACATTGAAAAACTTGAAAATTGTGTCAGTAATCATCTACATCAAAGCCAAATTATATTTGCTTTATACCAAACAGAACTGTGGAGGCCTAAACGTACATTGTACAAAATGTTTGTAGTGTTTTGTATGTCACCTGTTTCAGTATTTATGTAACTAGATTAGTGCTTTCTAGTGAGTCACTGTTAATTCTGCTGTGGTAATAAATTGATACTATATAATTAATCCTGTGGATACCTTCTGGTTACTTCAAGCAGCCATGGTAAGAAACTATGACTCTTGCTCTGCAAAAGTAAAATAAATGTTAAATATGTCCTCCTTTCTTTGTGTAACTCTCATATTTATGCTACTGAAATGATCAAAGTTGGTTTCTTATTGCCTTCATCAGTTTCCAGCATGGAGGTGTGAACCTAAATTGAGCAACAGAGACTAACTTGCGATAAACAAGAGTTTATTCAGGAATAGCAAGAGATTGCATTACATGCCATGAGGGCCCATAAGGTCATCTGAGGAGTTTGGGGTAAGAAGCCTTTAAAGGCAGAAAAGAGAAATCCACACAGGGTGTTTAGAAACAGACACCAGGGCTCGGCGCCTATAGCTCAACCGGCTAAGGCGCCAGCCACGTACACCTAAGGTGGCGGGTTCGAATCCCCAGCCCGGACCCGCCAAAACAACAATGGCGGCTGCAACCAAAAAATAGCCAGGCGTTGTGGCGGGCGCCTGTGGTCCCAGCTACTTGGGAGGCTGAGGCAGGAGACTCGCTTGAGCCCAGGAGTTGGAGGTTGCTGTGAGCTGTAATGCCACAGCACTCTACCCAGGGGGATAGCTTGAGGCTCTGTCTCAAAAAAAAAAAAAAAAAAAGAAACAGACACCAGTAGCAAAAGGGGCTTATTGCAAGCAGCATGTTTATTGTTTGGGGGCACTGGCTGTTGCTACAACAGGGTCTTCACGTAAGTGGCTTCACCAGAAAGTTTCAACTGGGACAGTCCTCTGTAGCTGTTCCTGTCACCAGCACCAGTGACGGCCCCTTCTTCGTAGCCTTCAGGCTCTGTTTGGATTTTGACATAAATAAATGACTCCATCTTGGTACTGACAACTAACACAAAAAGAGGGAAAACAATAAAGGTTTTCCCAGTTGCTGAGAACTCAGCAAAATAATAGCTTGGTCACACAAAGTAAGCATTTCAATTTGGGATGAAAAAAAAATTAAACATCCTTTGCCGGTTTTGTACCCTGGTCAATTTCTTGTCACATTGCTCTACATTTTCCCATTTGAAACCCAGTAAATGTCATCGGTGGTTTATCTTCCGCGGTCTCTTTCCTAAGCTTCAGAACGCTGTTACTTTTCTGCTTCTCTTTTCTTCTCAAGTCCACAAACTGATAATCCTTGTATCTTCTCTCCCGGGAGGCGTGGAGCGAGGTCCTGGACACGTGGATCCCAAAAGCCTCGCCCCGCGCGGCCGACCCGGCGCTTACTCTACCCGGCCAGCAGTTTCAGCGTTCGGAGTCCTGCCCACCCGGCAAGACCGCCCTCCTGCGGGAAAGTCAGGACATCATGGGCGCGTCCCCCGTTCGGCTCTAGGTGGGCGGCTTCCGGGGCAGCGAGCGCGGCCCCGAGGGCCCGGGAGCGAGCAGTCAACAGACAAGGCCAGCGCCGCCGCGAGGGCCGCCGGGAGGGGCGGGGCGGGGCTCCAAGGCCAGGCTCACCCCGCCCCGGCGCTCCTGTTTGCGTCACTAGTCAGCGCCGAAGCCGAAAGTGCTGCGTGCGTACTGTGTCTTCTGACCCGAGGCGCCTGTTACGTTATCATTCCGAGCCAAAGCAGGAAGTGACGACACTACTGGTGCGCGCCGAGCGCTGTTTCTTCTCTGGTTCCAGGACCGGCGGCGGCGGCGGCGGCGGCGGCGCAGGGGTAAGTGGCAGCTGGGTGGACTGGCGTGGGAGCGTGGTGAAACCTGCGCACCCGAGGTCTCGCGTCCGAACAGGCCTCGAGGCGGGGGCTGGCATGGGGCCGGGGGTGAATGACATCCCGGCTACCTGGTCCATTGTCGTCTGGCGAGGAACTTCGGGTGGAGTCGGTGGCGGGCACAGGCGCTCCGTGGAGCCAACCCCTGCCGGACTGAACCTCAGGTTTGCCTGACTGAGCCCAAGGAAGTAGGAGTCCGGCGCCTGGGCCAGGAGGTCCTGTTCTCAAGCGCATCTTCTCAGAGTCTTTCCCACCCCCAGGCTTCTGTACCCTGTGACGGAAGGTGTAGCAGTCCACGGTGAATTGTCACTCCGGTAGATTCTTTTGACACCAGAAACTTTCCTTGATGAGTGCTAGACACTAAGCTAAGAGCCTTTATGTGGGTGATGTCCTTAAATTGTCCCAACAGTACAGTCGCGTGAGGGGTGTTATTTCCATTTTGCAGAAAATAAACTGAAGTGAAGTTGCCCAAAACCATACAGGAATGGCAGAAAAGTGATTTGATTCCAACCAGTCATTTTTCAGAACCCATCACTCTGTTCTTTTTTTGTTTTTAAGAGACGGGGTCTAGCTGTGTGCCCGGGCTGGAGCGCAGTGGCTATTCACAGACGCCAACTTAGTGCACTACAGCCTGGAACTCCTGTGCTCAAGAGCTCCTCCCACCGGAGCCTCCAGAGTAGCTGGGACTGCGGAAGAGCACCTCCTCTCCTGGCTTAGAACTCTTCATTCTTCACTCTTAAGAATTTGTTGTGAAATGCTCAAAAGTGACTACTAGGCTGAAGTGTTCACAGACAACAGAGTATCAAACCTTAGCTTACTGTATCCTGATGTGGCTTGAACTGTTTTTCTTTTTACAGTGTTTTAATTCAAATGGGTGATGAAAAGGACTCTTGGAAAGTGAAAACTTTAGATGAAATTCTTCAGGAAAAGAAACGAAGGAAGGAACAAGAGGAGAAAGCAGAGATAAAACGCTTAAAAAATGTAAGCCGTGTTTTTTAAGTAAGTGGTTTTCTTAAAGGAGATTTAATTTCTTTGCCCTCATTTTTCCATTAGAACAACGCTTCTTCGGTGAAGTTCTTTTGTACTTCCAAATGTCACAGGTGAGCCCAAAATCTATTCTAAAAATTAACAAAAACATGCAAATACTCAGTTGACATTAAAAGCAGATTGTTAACACACTAAAGCTGTGTCTAGATGAACATCTATGTGGAGAATAAAATATTCTGAGCCTAAAATCGTTAGTACAGTTAGACTAATTTTTCTCATTTCATTATTAGTATACTCATAATACTATTTCAGATTATTTTTTAATATATTAGGGATAAGTTGCCTTAAAATTAATATAAATGTTTTATATCATCCTTGGTTTGTATGATAATATACTTAGGAGTACAGTATGAATTGGTGATTTGATACGAAGCATTGGCAAAAGTACCTGTTGCTAAGGTTAGCAACAGGTCAGCAAAGTACAAGCAAGCCTCACTATGATGTGCATCACTTTACCGCACTCCCTGCATACTATGTTATCTTGCAAATTGAAGGTCTGACAATCCTACATTGAGCAGTCTTTCATTGCCATTTTTCTGACACCATGTGCTCACTTTCCTAACTTTTTTTTAGCAATAAGCATTGGTGGTTTTTGTTTGTTTGTTTTTAGAGACAGTCTCCCTTTATTGCCCTTGGTAGAGTGCTGTGATGTCACAGCTCACAGCAACCTCCAACTCCTGGGCTTAGGTGGTTCTCTTGTCTCAGCCTCCTGAGTAGCTGGGAGGTGCCTGCCACAATGCCCAGCTATGTTTTTGTTGCAGTTTGGCCGGGGCTGGGTTTGAACCCACCACCCTCAGTATATGAGGGCAGCACCCTACTCACTGAGCCACAGGCACCGCCCGCATTGGTGGTTTTTATGAGCTAGAGTCTCTTTCTGTTGCCCAGGCTAGAGTGCCGTGGCATCATCATAGCTCACGGCAACCTCAAACTCCTGCTCATGCAATCCTCCTGCCTCGGCCTCCCTGGTACCTGAGAGTACAGACAGGTGGCCATCACAATGCCTGGGTTTTTTTGGTTTTTGGTTTAAGACAGAGTTTCGCGGTGTCGCCCTCAGTAGAGTGCTCTAGTGTCACAGCTCACAGGCAACCTCAAACTCTTGGGCTCAAGCGATTCTCTTGCCTCAGCCTTCCAAGTAGCTGGGACTACAGGCACCGCCACAATGCCCAGCTATTTTTTGTTGCGTTGTCAATGTTGGTTAGCTGGCCCAGGCCAGTTTCAGGCCAACTTCAGTATATGTGGCCGGTGCCGTAACCACTGTGCTATGGGTGCTGAGCCATACAACTCCTGGTTTTCTATTTTTTAGTAGAGATGGAGGTCTCACTCTTGCTTGGTCAAGAATTCCTGGTCTTAAACTCCTGAGCTCAAGGGATCTATCTACCTTGGCCTCCCAAAGTGCTGGGATTATAGGTATCAGCCACCACACCCAACCAGCAGTGAGCTTTTTTTTTTTTTTTGAGACAGAGTCTCACTGTGTCTCCCTCAGTAGAGTGCTGTGGCATCACAGCTCACAGCAACCTCAAACTCTTGGGCTTAAGTGATTTTCTTGCCTCAGCCTGCCAAGTAGCTGAGACTACAGGTGCTCACTGCAATGCCCAGCTATTTTTTTTGTTGTTTGGCAGGCCCAGGCCAGGTTCAAACCCACCAGCTCCAGTGTATGTGGCTGGCGCCCTAGCTGCTGCTACAGGCGCCAAGCCGCAGTGAGTATTTTTTAATTAAGGTATATACACTGTTGTTTTAGACATAAAGCTATTGCAAATATAATAGGACTACAGTATCCTTTTTGGATAGTTTGTGTGACTCCCTTTGGTGGTCTGGAACCAAACCTGCAATTTCTCAAGGTGTGCCTGTATTATATGAGGTATCACAAAAAATTTGGTGTCTAAAATATGACTTAAGGCTCATTTTTGCCTCATAAAAGTAACTAACATAGTTGGCATACGAGTTTAATGTTCCTTATCATATATGCTAGTCTTAAATTTTACATGTCAGGTTGGATTTCAGAGAGTTATTATTTTAATGTCATGGGATTTGAATGAAAATTTTTTATATTTTATAGCATCGGTCCATTCAGAGTGTATATGAAGATTTGATTTTGGATGTTGGCAAGGTTTGATTACCTTTTAAAATACTTTCATTTATAAGGGAATTGATTAACTTTCTCTTTGCTTCCTAGTCTGATGACCGGGATTCCAAGAGGGATTCCCTTGAAGAGGGGGAGCTGAGAGATCATCGCATGGAGATCACAATAAGGAACTCGCCATATAGAAGAGAGGATTCTATGGAAGACAGGTTAGAAGACACACAAGAGGT